CTGTCGCTTCCCTCCCCACTCCGTGGCCTCTCGCCCTGACATTTCCAAGACTTTCTACTTCTACGGGGGGGTTCAGCGACCCCGGCGCGCCGCGGGTTCTTTCTGTCTACGATCTCCTCCCGGGGATCGGTGGCTCACGAGCGATCGCGACATTTTCCGCCGTTTAATTCCGCGGAAATTCCCCACGAATCTGCCCTTTTTATTCAAATGTCAGGAACGCCGTGATCCCCCCCTCCCTCTGTAATTCCAACTTCGTCGCTTTCCCAAGGTTACTGTGTTGTGTTTGTTTCTTCTCCGATACCCGACGCTTTAACGTTTAACGAAGGGTATATTCCCCCTCGGAAGCGTCATTATTAACCGATTTTTTAGAACTACAAATCAATGGACCAATGAACTTATAATTTTTCGTACATGTTTGTTCGCATTTCGAGAAAGCATTTAATTTTGGGGGGGGGGGGGCAAGCGTCCCTGCCCATTGCTTCGATAACAAATGTCTTCGGCGGTGTCTGGACGGAAAGATTTTTCGATAGAAAGGCGCGAAGCGTGTATTGATTACGCGGTGACGTTAGGCGATCGCGAGCCTGATGAATCGTGGAGTCGTTTATGTAATCGTCGATAGAAAGTACGTAATTGCGGCGGTAGGGAGGGTGGATGGTGTGTGACGTCTCTCCTTTCGAAGACCATTTTTCCCCATGACCATGTCCCAACGGGTACCATTTCACCTATTTCTATCGTTGCCACAAGTGATTGTTCACTCGGGTTCTTTTCTTCGTTAACTCGAGAGCGTAACGTGTTAAGGGTGCGTATCCATTTGTTGCGTATCGTCGCGTCGTATCGCCATTTTCATACGGAACGATGCAACTTTTTGCCCCGTTACAGCACGCGATAATGCTGTTCGATCCGTGTGTTTTAAACGTGTTACCATCTCGTTTGTTTTTCTGTTCTTTTCAGGATCACAGGTCCGAGCTCAAGACGACGAAGGCGGTGACGGGCTAGACGCGAACGCCGAGGAATTGTGCCAAGACAGGCCGGGTGACGAATACTTCCGTTTAAACGTCGAGGGTGACTGTCGAGATGTCGTGAGGTAAACATTTAATCGTTATACGCTCTTCTGGCTTTTGTTCTTGTTCCAACGACAAAGAGGAGAATATGCAGCTCGATCGGATGAGTCACCGATTGTACTGTTGATGGGATAAACACGAACGGGGAACGCGATAAAGATAGCGAAAGCAGAAAGAATTCACGGGAACCTTCCGTGATCGTTCGTAATAAGAGTTTCATCGAGAATAATTGCGTGGATCGATCGTCACTGGGTCATCTAGGAGGCTTTGAATCGTGTTCAGAGATCGCGATATCGGTATTCCGCGGTAAAAGTCACCCCGAAGGACGCAGCTCGAGCGAGACGCGAAGTTAACGGTGCACGTCGCGCGATTCACATGTCGAGGGATCGGAGATAAAAATGAAAAAAAAAAAAAAATGGCGAATTCCTCCGGTTCCTCGGCGATCGAATTCCGCGCCTCGAAGGTTCAAGGCGAGCCTGATACCGGATACAACCATACAGGACTCTCTCGGGCTGCGAAGCTTAATGGCGACAGAGCTCAAGAGGTCTGGTGTCCTGACTCACTCGCGCACAACGGCCCGAGTATTTCCGTCCTCAAGGACACGCCACGGCGGAAAATATCCTCGGAACAGGAACACCTCGAGCATTCCGCGAGTTCTGACGGGGATAATCTACGAATTAGTATTCTGAAGTTTCTTTGATCGACTTTTTTTTTATCGAGCTGTGTGTGGAGGAGGTCACCTTGAACAATCTCTAGCTTCGAGGAGCACATCTGTCTCTCTCTTGTTTTCGGGAAACAAGTTCGTAAGAATTGTGAGAATTTTAATAGATCGACGTGAACTTTGGTTCTTTTTTTACACTAAGTAGCATAGGTGGTGGAGCATCAGGCTACCAATCCTTTATTTTTGGTTCCGTTTTGCTTTTACCGAAGACTTAATTCCTGTGTACTAGTATTTTTTTAACGTATTGTACGGTACAGTGTTTTTTTTATTCGGGGAAAGAAGTTGGGACTTGCAATCCGGTTGCAAGGTCGACGATCGACCATTCGAATTTCCGAATTTTCAACAATTAATTTCTTTTCGAACAAGAGAAGTACTCCGGTACTGCTTTCAGAGATTCGTCCAAGAAACCTGTTCAACAGCTCGGAAATATCCGTCTGAATCATCGCGATCATTTCGATCTGGAAAGTGTATGCGACTGTTAAACGAAACGATTATTTTTCGCGTATTCGGAATTCTGTTGTCGGGACGAGAATATATTTGAGATACAATCAAGGGAAGTGTGGTTTCGTCGGGAGTACACTTATCAATTCGATTCTGTTGTATCGTTTCTCATTAATTATACCGGTTTAGAGAAGGCGAAATATTTGCAATCGCCTCGTACGATGTTGCGACATGGTACGCCTTTTTTGCTGCTCGTAATGGTAAAATCATTGTGTAATTTAATAGAGGAATTAAGGTCAAGCATTATTCTTTTATCAAGATGTTGAGTAACGTGCGAAACAATCTGCAAACATTTACCAATACAGGAAGAGAAAAACTACGAAATATTCACTTTGAGTAGAAACATAGATCTTTATTAGAATGGGGAGGCTTAAAAACAAAAATGCCGAGCTTATTAACACGTTGAATGTCGCAGGATTTTCGTGCATTTCAGCCACAGCGTCGAAGTGAAATTTTCGTTACACAGAGTATAGAAGAATAAAATTTTATATAAAATTGTTAAAGTCAACTATGTTATCATACTTTTGGCATTTAGTTTGTAGAAATTTGCCGATTCACCGTTGACCCCCACGGAATTCAATGTGTTAATAAAGTTCATAACAGTCTCGTTGCTATACACCGGTATAAAATACAGCAAAATCGACAATAAAAACCCTCGAAACCGATCGGATAAGTAGAAGGTTGTAACCTTCAACGGTCACAGAATTGTTCGTGTAAAAATGGCAGCCGTGACAACGAGGTCACGCTGCTACCAATCACAGACCCGACGTGAAATCGTGGGTAAGAAACAGGGTCTTGAATGACATCAAAAAAAAAAAAAAAAAAAAACGAAAAAACCGTGAAATTGACCGGCAGATGCGACAAAGCCACCGAGATCGGCGTGACCAGGCTGGCCACCGTTCGCTGCCCGACAGGCCTGGCGTTCGACATCGAGAGGCAGACCTGCGACTGGAAGACGAACGTGAAGAACTGCGACCAGCTCGAGAGTAAGCGACCGTTGATCGATTAGCTCACTAAAAAAGCCCCCTTTGTTTCTTTCTGTCCGGCTCGAACAGGTGCACGAAGTCCGGCCTGAAGCAAATCACGTGCCCCAGCGGACTGGCCTTTGACTTGGACAAACAGACCTGCGACTGGAAGGGCAAAGTCACCAACTGTGACAAGCTCGAGAGTAAGTCGATGTATCGACCAGGCTGAACCGGGCCGACACGCTCCGTTTTCCAATCCTTCTTTCCCCGTGAAAAAGAATGCGTTTATTAATCTAAAAAGAAAAATTCGAGTGTCTTGATGGAACCATAATCGACAGAGGCTTTTTTTTTTTGTGTCTCCTGTTGCAAACACTTCTTCGAATTTCTGATCCACGTCTGAGTTTATTGCTTTTGTACAGGTAAACGTAGATAGTTCACGATATTCTTCATAAAAACTTAGAATTTTCCTACGGAATTATAAAATTTCGTTCTTTGATATTTTTATTCGAACGTTTATACACGTAGAAGTGTTTGCAGTTCTATAAACGCATTGTTTTTCGTGTCTGGGGGACGAGGGCGCAGGTACCTGAACATTATCACTTCGTCTTCGGTGTTGAAGATGTTGCGCACGATGTTACAGGGGGAAACACACGGAGGAGTGCCCGGTTCGTTCGTAGACTCGCAACGTAGCACGCACGCACCATTCGTAATTCTACTAACGCACGATATTATCCCCCCCCCTACTGTATTCAGTCACAACAACCATGCTATTCTTCTCGTCTCCCAAAACGTTCGAGGGATCGATTCCGATATCGTGAACCTGCGATTCACGATTTTTCTTAGCTCCTACAGCCGCGGGGGTGGAGCGTACAGACTCCTCTCGATTATTGTCCAGGCGTTATCCCCACCACTGAGGAGGGTGGGATGGGGGATCGTGGAAACTGTCAAGCGCATACTTTGTTGTCCCCCACTTTTGTTGCCAAGACTCGGATTTCGGGCAAAATACGAATTCACAAGGGTCTGAAGAATTTCTCCCTATAAGATTATTGTCCCGGCGTGGACTCGATTTCGGGACAATAATCGAGAGGAGTCTGTAATTCCGCAACCAGATTTATTAACGATTATTTGTCTCGGAACGTTTTAATCCGGTCCGATCGTACTTTCTAAAGTCACATCGGGGCCCTCTGACTTTGTAATATTCTCTTCTTTATTTCTTTTTCTTTCTGTAAGGCCCCGGAACGTTACACGACACCCGTAAAAATGGCGGCCACGGCGAAAACGCTGGGTTCTAGCGTAAAGTGAAAATCCGGCCCCGCTGGTTACGTGCCCGCGACGCTCGTAATTATTCGAATGGTCATACGAGCGGTGCTCGAGTTACAGCTTTCTAAAATCCCTCTCCCGCCCCCCGCAGATTAACAAGTTCACTCTCGCGAGCCGAGTAATAAACCTGTTTTTACCGGATTCAATTTTCGAGAGGTGCCAAGATCACCGTAGTTTCTTCCGTGTCCTTAAAACAATTGAAATGACGCGCAATTAGAGGGAAGTAAAAGGGTACCGATTTTCATAACGATATTTTATTTCCAATATACACGTGTATCGATATAATTTGGGCATCGATACAGTTCAAATGTATCGTTACCACTAGTATGCATTCTATACTATATAAGTCGCTTTCGAGATCGACCCATGTTTCCGTCTTCCCCCTTTGCCACTTTCGATTCCACCGTTGAAAGGACTGGTTCCGATTTTGAGGGAAAGTGCCGCACCGTGAGCGCCCCCGCGCGTCCAACGGAGACGAGAAGCTCGTGAGCCGTCAAATTAAATGTACAATATTCTTAACCTGATTTATTCGGTGCCACCCAATCTTCCTGCAGTCGCCCCGCCCCCTGTTCACGCAACTTCCATCGATTCACCTTGCCTCGACTAACAGCCGTGAAAAATTGTACACGCGCTTTCCCACTCCCCCGCCCCGTTTGCGAAACGCTTGTTGCTCGGAGTGTGCATTATGTACCGCCGCTTTTTTCATGATTCGCGTGCCACCGTCGCTTCGAGGGGTCCACACGGGGGCTGGCTTTTCCAATTTCCTCGTGAAAAAAAAAAACCAAATCTTATTGAAAATTCAACTTTCAAAATGCAAGAATGCACCTGAGAATTTAAAGCTAGCCATACACGATGAGGCAGCCACCAGGGGTGGTCTCGTTAGATTTAGTGGACAGAAACATACGTCTAGTAGTCGTTCTTTTCCTGCCTACCAACGTCTCATGCAACCGTCTCTTAGATCGTCGAAAAATAAATTTCGTGCTAACAGTTTGAGAATTTTAGAGTCTCTTACGACGACCCTAGAAGGTACTTAAATGTCAGCACGAAGTATTGATTTATCATAGAAATTGAAATTTCTACGTTCAAACGATTAAACATAAGTAAAGTACTGTTTTTTTTTTTATCTTTTATTCGTTATTCGAAACTTTTTATCCGGATGATGAATTTGCCCATCTCTGTCTATCGACATAACAGTTTCTCGGTAACAATGCAACGAAAACCGATTCTTGCCAAACTTTTTATTCGGCGAGCAGTTTCGTATCGTCGTTGTACACCGTAACGTTTTATGTATCCTGTCTCTGTTTCCCCCGTCGTGGCAACAAAAGGAAAAGCATCGAATAATATTGCCCCACAGCGTGATCGCGCGAACAACCAGCCCCCCGGTCGCGTCGTCTCGTAACCAACGTTGGCACGCAATCGCTTTTTAGCTTCACGAATAAACTCCAACGCGCTCACACACTTGTACATATTATTCCACAGATACACACACATACAGAGACTCGCCACACGGATACGTATAAACTTCTTTTCTCCTCGCTCCAGGTACGAGGTAGCACGTTCTCGATCGCTGATCTCGCTCTTTTTTTTTTTCTTTCTTTCTCTCTTACCGTCTCTATCAACCTGTCTCTTTCTTTCTCTGTCACACACATACACACACATAGGCATATACAGGGTGTCCACGCGAACAGTGTATGTTATTTCCTAAACTATTTAAAATACGAGAGAACTGTTTATATAAAATTGAATGGCATAAGGTGGCTAATTAACGAGCTATGGCGAATTTTTTCTAACATTATTATTTTAAAAGATATGAAGATCAAGTTTCGGGTTTCAAACGGAATTGTATGAATATTTATATATATATATATATATTTAATTCCATTTAAAAAATCAGATTTGATCCTGATATCTCCTAAAATAATAATGTTAAAAGAAATTCGCCATAGCCCCCGTCGTGCCGTTGAATTTTATTGTAAACAATTTTCTCGTATTTCAAACAGTTTAGGAGAGAATCAGACTGTACACTGTTCGCGCGAATACCCTGTATACCCGTCCGCCATTTTTATCTCTCTTTTCTCAGCATCTAGATCGGTTTCGCTTCGACGATCTGGCCTCCTTACGGGAGCTCTCCTTGTTATTTAGTCGGCTCCGTTCGCTTCGGCCGCGGATAGGGATCGATCATTAATTTTCTCTCTTCCGCTTCTCATCTCG